TTGTGAATTCAGTTGGGAATGAGACTTGATAATCTCACACTAAAGATGTCATTTTCTTCTATAGTATGCTGTGCATACAGAATATTTTGCCTAAATTCCCAAAATGCTAAGGTGTTTTGGACACTCAGATGTATTGCCATGTGGACATGATTCCTACTCCTGTTTCCCTCCACTGTATCATCTATTCATCAGTAGACTGCACTGAGACCAAAACGGAGGGATAAAGATAGATGTACTGTAGACTGCGAATTATAGATTTAGATAGAGTACTTGTTGGAAAATAATTGAATTTGGAGTTGAACCTTGTCCGTTCAACCTTGGACAAATCTTCTTTTCATGAGATATATTTATCTTTTATTTCCTGGACTTCTATGTATGAGTTTTGAGGGATTTGTACAGCTTCATGACATAGTTCCAGTCCATTTCTTCTTGTCTTCCTCCCAAGTTATAGATTTTTTTTTTTTTTTTGCTACATAAAGCAGCTTCACAAGAAGAGATGGTCCTACACATGATAGTTTTGGGGCTAACAACCCATCAGGGGCATGCAAGATGTAACATGAGAAAACTGAACCTATGTTTTCCCACGTCTGGCAGATGTTCTTACTGTTGAGCTACTGAGCAAAAGGAGAGGTTGGGGGGAGTGAGGACCGCTCATATGCCAATAAAATATTGGCATAGTTTTAGATTGTTGGCTCTCTGCACTGAGGTAGGAAAGTAGGCAGAGAAACATGTGATCATTCAATTCACAGTGTATTTCAGAGGCAGAGTGATCTGTGTGTGACCTTGTGCAAAGAATTTGTGATATATCTACAGTTAAATTCCCGATAGTGTGCAGCCAACATCTCCAGATCCATTCTTATCTTTTCTGACTCTATAGCTGAAGCTGATGGAAATAACATCCCTCATTTCTGTCCATTTGTTGTATGTATATGTTTTTAGACTATTATGCTTCATTAACATCACTCACTCTGTAAATGGCCTTAAATGTTGATTTAATTTAATGTAGATTTTATAGGTCTCAATATATGTTAATTTGTAGATAACAAGGATCTGTTTTTTTTTGGTTTAAAAAGACAGTTACAAGTGAAATATCTCCAGTTGCTAAGACCATTGGTGTTAGCACAGTAAGTAGTAGTTAATGTGCGACATTTACTAAAGCATTGAATATAGTTACTTAGCTAGTTAGACCAGATATACTTACTCAATGTATAATAAGAAATGTTTTAATAACTTAAAATTAATTTTCTCCCAAACCTTCTTGTATTCTCTTGTGGTTTAACCTAACAGGCAGTTAAGCACCACACAGCTGTTTGTTCACTCCCCCCACAGTGGGATGGGATAGGGCACTGGGAGAAAACTTGTGGGCTGAGATACAGATAGTTTAATAGGAAAGAAAAGCGGGGGGGGGGGGGGGGGGGGGGGGGGGCGGGGGGGATACACAAAACAAGGTGGTGCACAATGTGATTACTCACCTCTAGCCAACCAACACCCATCCCATCCCAGAGCAACAGCAGCCCCACCAGCCAACTCTCCCCCGTTTTATTGTTCAGCATGATGCTACGGGGTGTGGGATGTCCCTTTTGGCCAGTCTGGGCCACCTGTCCTGGCTGTCTCCCTCTCAGCACCTGGGGCACCCCCAGCCCTCTCACTGGCAGGGCACCATGAGAAGCTGAGTCCTTGGCTCTGTGTGAGCACTACTCTGCGACAACTAAAATGTCAGCATGTTATTGACAGTATTTTCACTCTGAATCCAAAACATGGCACCATACCAACCACTAGGAAGAAAATTAACTCTGTCCCAGCTGAAACAAGGACATAGTTATCCATTTGACCTTGGCCAGTGGATGTTTTACTGTTAATTGCTGCATCATACCAACTTCAGGTCCTGGTAAAACAATGTGTTAAACTATTTAGACTCCTGTGTGGGTATTGAGCCAGGCAGAATTTCCCTCTGAAGCCTACAGAAAAGGTATCCGGTTGCCTGACACAGAGCAATGGAAAGTCCTTCACCGCACTGCAACTGCAAGATGCAGGGGACCAATTCTGATGGCAGTTTGACCAACTCAGAAGATTATTGAATAGCTTTTGTGAATGTTGTTCCTCAGGAATGAGCATGTTACCTTTATACTTATTTATTTATTTATTTATTTAGAAGATCAACCAGCTTTGTCTGTCATCCAGTCCTGAGCTTTTCTTTGCCTTCTGATGCTCAACCCAAATAGACTTGTTTGGGAGGGTTGGCAAAAAGATTAAATACTAACAGCAGCTATTATCGTATGCCTGTATCTGTATATCACCTGTGGAGCACTTGAATGCTTGGAGCAAGTTGATAGCCTTTGGCAGGTACAACTAGTATCTGGTGGCTTTTGGCTCTGAGTTTTTTCCAAAAGCTCCGGGAATTCTCCTGTGGGTTAGTCCATGGTTTTGGCACAGATCTGTGGCTGTGGCAGTAGTTTGGGGTGAGGGTGGAATGTTAGGCTTGGGAAATCAGTATTTGTGAATTTGCACATTTCGGAAAAGAGCTGCTTCCTTCCACTGAGGTGCCAGCTGCAGCAAATGCTGCAGTGGGAGGCTTTCAGAGAAACACACAGGCTGCAAAATTCCTGAGCTCCACCATGTAAATCTTAACCAGCACCATATTTCAAATACTTCAGAATGCCTTTGCATTTCTCAACAGCAATTTACAAATGTCCTCAAATATGTTACAAATTTTGCTCAGAGAAGTGTGAAATAAAGGGGATATTGAGGAGATTTTTAATGTAACAACAGAAAAAGAAAAAAAAAAAAAAACAAAAACTTTGAGGGATCTATAACAACTGCTCATAATTATGAGTAAAATAAGAACACTGAGAGTGCTCAACAGTGAGGTGAGGATAGACAGTTTTTCCCTTCTAATATGTATATTTTTTTCAATGACAGTCTTGAAGCTTTCAGTAGAGGAGGTAGATGGCTTTGAAGTTAAACAGCAGGTTTCCTAGCCATAGGAGTAGCCTAATAAGAAAACTACTATCCAAATAAAACCTTGCTTCATATTGCTTTTCTTGCTGTTTCTTCCGCATGGCGTGGCCTGAAGGTTTTTACCAGCACAACTACTCTCCTACCCCCCACCCACCTAAGTACTCTTTTTTTGCAGTATCTTAACAAAAGTGCCAGCATGTAAGCTGTGAGCTGTGTTGCTGGTGTTACTGAAGGGATTGGTGTTTATATAATACCAAATGAATAAATAATCTCTGCAGTGCTCTGGAGGTTACAGGGTAAGACACAGTTTCTGTTCAGCTTAGGTATCGCAGTTTAAATCTCACTGATGTTCTTACACTGTCCTGTACTCAGCTTATCATAAGGTTATTTATGTCTGACACAGCTTTCCTTCTAAATACTTGTAAAAGTAGCTCTGAAGAGTAAGGTTTGGGTTGACCTTCTTACACATAGAAGCGTTTTCAGTTTTGACACCCTTCCAATAGTTTTTTGTGCACACTTCAGTGGCAATTAACTGTAAGCTAATAGTTTTGCCAGTGAACAGAAAGTTGCGCTGTAAAATGCGTAATTGAAGATGATTCATGCAGCAGTATTGCCTCACTAATGAAGCTAAATCTCATCCTGTTGTAAATGTTATGAATAGTAAGTCACTGGTGTTTATCTCAAGCATGTTTGTGTAGTCACTTCAACCCTTGGAAAAAACAGGGATTCGTGTAAGAATTTGCACTGCATAAAATTTTGATTTTATTTTATTATGCGTCTATTGACCCTTTTTTCTTAAGCCAGTAATGGGTCCAGAAGATAGGAAGATACTTTCTATGTCTTCTTTTATTGCAAAAGGAAGAAAGACCTGGAGACGATCATTTTGTAGGGTTGGATTTGATGATTTGATCTCCTGCTGGCTTCTGTCTCATTTTCTGTGTCACCTTGCTTTTGGCTTCTAGTTAGCCTTTGAAAAGAACACCTAGAAGCCCAGAAATTATTTCATGTATGCTTGGGAAAATATGGAATATAAAACTCTCCAGGAAATGTGCGGTTAGGAAACTCTTTAGAAGCAGACATAAGTTATGGATATCTACTTGCATCCAGCATGTCTGTCTGATGCAAATACACTTACTAGAACTAAGAGTGAAGTGCGGAAATGTGCTCTGCAAAACTGGCTATCTGTGGGTGATATTTTTCATTACTGAAGACCATATTTGGTGTTCAGCACTCTTAATGTTACCCGTTGAAAGCTTAATAAAATTTCTTGTTATGGTTGTCCTAATAATGAAGTCAGGTCCTGTAGAGGCATTGCAGTAAGAGTCTTTCTTTTTTCTGATTGCTCAATAACTCCTAAGTATTAGAAGTGACAGCAATCCTACGTGTTACATTTTTAAAGTGAAAATCTAACTTCTTTCTACACAAATGGCTTAATTTTAACACTGCCTTCCCATGTAAGACGGCATCAAAATGAAGCCCCAGTAAGCAGGTATAACCATAAGAACCTCTGAAACATGAAGACAGAGTAAGCAGGGAGCTGGGAAGCATGGCACAGATGTGTAATTTAAACAAGTACTGAATTACTGCTTATTTCAATACATTGAAATCACGTGCAGAAGTGCTTCCCTGAATTGGAGTGCAATTTTCAGAAGAAAGTGTTATCAGGGTATAATTAGTGAAACATGGTTTCTTAAGAATCTCTTTCATGTTTGAATTCTCCACTTAGTAAAGGGATTGAAGTTTTTGCCACTTAGAAGTGGTGATGACTATCCTTAATTCTTTTGTTTTTTCCTAAGCTTGGTGGACTTTCCAGTATCTAATAACAAGTGAATTTCTTTACAACGTGTGGGAAGTGGGGGGAAAGGCAGCAGATGAACACAATGCTTGATAACAAAAGTCTTAGAAAACCAGACCAAAATCTTGCTTCAGATTCTGTTAACGTGACGTGGGTTATGTTGTGTTGGCAGTACTATAAGAAATGTGTTGAGCTATGAAGTGTATAATCCTGGTATCCTAGAGTTAATCTGTTGTACCTTTTGCAGGTGGAGATTTACATTTTACCTTTATATATTTACCTATGGAGTACGGTTCCTGAAAAAGGTAGGCACTTGCATTATTATGCTTTCATTACTCATTATGGATTTGTTTCAAGTCTTGTATAGGTATAATGTAGAACACAGGCATAAAACTTACATTCATCAAGAACAAAATTAAAATTTAATTTGCATTCATAAAATGAGCTGCCGTTGGCACTTATAAGGAATATAAGTGCTCATCAATATTTAACGGAACAAAAAAAAAACAAAACACATGGGTATACCAACATGTCTAGTTCACTTTATTATTTTCGTTATAGGCATTAAAGTGTCAGAAAAGTTTACCAAAGTGTTCAGGTCAATTTCGGCACTATCCTTATTTAAATGCCTCTGGTAGAAGATGCTTTTTAATAACAATCTATTAGTGATTTTAAAAATGCTGTGGTTTTGGTCATTCTTTGTCTGGTACGCTGTGGAAAGAAGTGGCTCCATGGAGTTTCCTATCAATGCTGTGTTTTTGGTGATTTAAAATAGAGAAGGGTATTGACAGCCTCTAAATGCCCTGGCATAGGTCTGTTAACTTCATCCTGGGCAGTTATATGGGTTTGTGGTTCAAACTATTTTTGCAATGTTGCTAGTTCTCAGAGCTTTTGTGCAAATCAAGTGATATTTTCGTAATTCTTGGAGATGTATTTTAGGGGAATGTGTGGTCTCAGTGTATTAATGTAATTTCATCTATTCATTTTGGACAAAAATTAACACAAGAGAGTGTGTTCTAAATGTTTCTGATGTTTTGTAAGCAAAAGTATGGAGAGTGCAGGGGGTAGAGAACCTTAATTTTTACAGTTGTAATTCCTGAGGCTGTTCCAGGTGAGTCAACTCAATGCCAGCAGGGCTGATGATGCCCTGTGCAGGGAGGAGACATCAGCTGTTGTCAGCCCCTTACCAGTGGTCAGCCCGAGATGCAGAGTGTGCACCTGTTCTCCAAATAGAGCAGAACCAGACATAATGCACAACCTCTCCCTCTCTCCTTGAATGCTCCTGTTCTGTGCGTACTTCATCCATTAACATGCTCTGTGATTTTTCCTGTGAGCGTAGCGTGAAATAGGAAAACAGTTTTAATGACAAACCGTTAAGTGAATGTTGCCACCGTGCTGAATGCTCCATGCTCTGTGGTTGGTTTCTGACTTGTTAGGATGTTTTGCTCAATGCGGAAGACGTCCCTACTCAAAGTCAAGTTATTCTACATGTGTTTGACAAGAAGAGTGGCCATGGTGCAGTGGAATAAGAAAAATATAATTTTATTTTCCCTGTGCCTGTATTGCATATGATATTTCTAGCTTGTTGGCAAATACGTAGTAATACATGGAGTAATGTTTTTCAGCTCAAGCTCACACTAGAATTTTGCGCAACAGTATGGTTTGTTTTAAATCAATGAGATTAAAGTTTCATACTCTTCAGAATAATATAATTGGCAAGTAGGGAATCCTTTAGGTAAAGCAACCTTAGTCTTGTTTTGCTTTTCAGCCTCATAGAGCTTTATCTTATTTTAAATATATTGCAAATGTGTTGAAATGTGAGAAATGGTAGATTGTATAAGAAAAGTTTTAATTTAAAACTAAAAGATGTTTCAGTGATTGATTTTTTTTTTTTTTTTTGGTGGCCATAGACTGGATCTCTCTTGAAAGTATTGGAGTGCTTAATTTCTTTTGGGAGAACGATCTTGTGTCCCTTACGGTTTCAGAATTACTGATTTTCTTCTGGCAACCTCTTTTGGTTTGTTCTTTTTCCGTACCTCTGGAGGTGAGAATGGATAAAATTACTATTTTGATATTTCTCAGCTTCGAAGTAGACAAACAAAGAAAATACTTTTTGAACCTTCTAGCTAAACTAAAGTCTTACGATAACAATTCAGAAACTTCCTTACACAGTACAAAGAAAGTGTCTGTCCTTGGAAAAACTCTGAATACCAGTATTTCTAAAGACTGAAAAGAATACAGAAAATGCATGCTTCATTACGAGCATTGTGAGCTGGGTCTAAAGGCTGAGATGACAATTGTCATCCACATCCACAGTGTGGATGTCGTCCTCCCTGTTCAGAATATCACTCAGTTTGAGGAGGGATTGCCAGCACAGCATGGCTGTGTGAACGAAATATACCAGTATTTAAACAAACTAGTCTTAACAAAGATGGGTTTTGTGATTTTGCTATAATTTTAACTTTCAACATGTTTTAATTTTTACAGTAAACTTGTTCACTATGTAACTGTGTACACATTTAATTATTTGTTTTTACACAGTATTGTAAATGAATCACATCACTTTATGCTATAGTCATTGTTCCAGTGTTCTACTTCATATGCTCAAGTCTTCCACATGGGAATGCAGGTAAATTAACAAAATTATGACTGTATTTATATTTGTAATTGCATCATCTCCCCAGTAATATTGTGTAACTAAAAGAAAATACAGTATAGTTACTGTTCATCAAACACTGAATAGTTTACTGAGCCCACTTAGGAGGGAAATCTGAGTTTGAAAGGAATAAAATCCTGACCCTGGAATCTGGAGGAGAGCTTCTTTCAAAGCTTTCATTACTAAGTTGGATAATCCTTTGTGGTTTTTTGTTGTTTTTTTCTTTGTGTGTGTGTATCTTGTCTTTGTTAAGGGAACAATTGCGATGAAACACTTGCTTCTTTAGGAAGCTAGAGAAAAAGCATAATCCCATCAGAGCAACACACTCACTAACTGCGAGAGTAGGAGGAAGAGTAATTATTGCTAACACTCCTGTTTTGAGGAATGGAATATGCCACCAGTATAGCAACACATTTGAAATACTAATTTTGACTTTAAAACCTAAACTAATGCTTAAGTGATGGACGTTTTGGACAGCTGGATAAGAGATTTTATATCATGAATACACGTCAGATGCTTGAATGTATATAAGAAAGTATTTTTAGAAGGGAAACTGCATTTTGGTGATTTTTAAATAACAGAATCATTCAAGACGGGTTCATTTGTCCATTTCTGGATAGTTAAGATCCCAGATTTGAGAAGATTTTTGCCATCTCAAGTGGGAAGTGTTGCTTATTGGCTGGGCTTGAGACTTGCTTTCATGAGGTACTCCCTTGTTCATGTTCAACAGTGTACCTACCTTCTGTATTTTTTGCTTTGGTTATTCCTTTCTAACCAAGCCAATTTGCCACACTGGTTTTCAAGGTCTTGCTCTCAGTAATACTGTATTACAATTTATTTATTTTTTTCATGTGAAGAATATATTGCTTGGGAGTACAGAATCCGGTTTAAAGATGATGTTCAGCGAGTTGGTGCAACTCACCGTCAAACTCTACAATGACTTGATTTATACAGTGGCTGGGAAGTTGTCATGGAATTGCAGGGATGCTGTGACTCCATTGCTCTCCTGATCTCTAGATACACTAGCAGCAACTTGTCTGTGTCTCTTAAGTGTGGGGCAAGGCTATCTACCACTTAAATATGGTAATCATTGACTTGTGGATCTTTGGGGCAGTTGTATTTGCACCATTAAGCTCTGCAGTAGACTGCACTGTGCAGGATGTGCCTTTCTGCCATGGGAAGTAACACCACTTTCTTTCTGAAGACTGTTACTCAGGGTTTTCCAGGCAAGTGCTTTCTCCTAATGCCAGCTTTAGCAGCATGGTTGCATGCTACGTGTTCTCTTTCTGTAGCTCTTTCATCTGTTGGTTTATTAATTCTCAATAATAAAGCCACTGGTCTCCGCTGGTGAAGCAAAAAACATGTGATAACCTGTGCAAAGACATCTGGTGACATAAGGTGATCTAAGGTCTCTTAGAGGTTTTGAAATGTGAACCAGCTCATCTGTACAAAAGGCTATCCCTAAAACACAAATGCCAGTGCATTGTCTCTTTTACAGTTTCTCTGTTGGCTCGTGAATTGCCAGGCAACAAAATACTCTGACCTCTGTACTATGATCCTTCCCTTCTGACCTAATCTAGTCTTCTTGCAACCTGCTGCTCCTTTGCTTTGCTGCACATGCTGTTGCTGACCTGTTGGTTCTCTTCTGTTTACAATTGGCTCTCCCGTGGTTGGAGGTAGAAATTCACTTTTACTTACAAGACTGGCACGGAGCCTGTCAATTACTTAAGCACCACTCTGAGCTAGTTTTGAGGTCCTTTGCTTTGTGCTGGCCCCTTGCCTAGAGATGAATTTCACCTTTTGGATTCTTTCTGAAAACACATTTCTCATTATGCCCACGGCACATGAATCATTGCTACTTTGTCTTTTACTGTCACCTTCCCTGTTTGCTGCATAAAGCAATATTACTGCCTCAGCAGTGTCAGCAAAAGGGTGGATTTCAGTTCTGTTGTGTCCCATCAAGCTACCAAAGGAAGATCTCACCAGGATACTGTGCCAAACCACCATTCTTGCAAAAAGTGCCACGAGGTCTTTGGTGGCTTTGTAGAGCTGACAAGCTTATATAGCTTTTTTGGGGGGAAGATGTGCCCAAGTTTAATAAGACATAGTCATATAGAAGACTTCTCGACAACTCCGATGATATGAGACATCAGTTCTTTGGTCACATTGGTCAGTTGCTGAGTACGTTCTTGGAATTCTGAAACTTCATAATCATTGAAAACTGTCTCTGTTGAGCTGTTCTCTTGGGTCTGGTCATTTTCCAGTGTCAGAAACATTCTTGATGTACAGTGTTCAGTCATAAAAAACATCATAAATCGTACCTTTGTTACCTTTGTTAAACAGTATTTTCAAAAATCTCTATTCACCGGGAAAAATATCTGATGCAAAGTTTTGTTTTCTGATTTTGCGCTGCTACATCAGAACTAATCGGTCTATAGGACTTAAATAAGTCTTTGTCTTCATGGTCTGTGCACAACAGAGACCTAGCTTAAAAGTGTGTACATTGTCAACTTTGCCTTTGTTGTGATAATGCATCACTCATTAAGTGACATTGTAAAAATGAACCTTTTTCTTACAAGGTGTACTGTTGATGGCATATCCCATGTTCAGCTTCTCTGGTTGTTTTCCTTTTCTTGGGCATAAAGAAAT